CTATCAAATGCCTTCTCGAAGTCAATAAATGCCATGTATATCGGGATATGATATTCGTTAGTTTTTTCGATTAAAATCTTCATCTTTAAAAGGTGGTCACTTGTACTGAAGCTCTTTCTAAATCCGGCTTGTTCTCTTGCCTGGTATCCATCTAATTTAGTTGTTAATCTATTTGTTAATATTTTGGTTAATAGTTTGTACATCACATTTAGTAAAGTTATGGGTCTGTAATTCTTTAGATCCTTTTATCTCCTTTCTTAAATAGTAACAGTGTTATTGCTTTGTTCCAACTGTTGGGTATTTGTTTTGTCATTAGTATTTTAGTCATAAGTATGTACAAAACTTATCTAGTTGTTTTCCCACCATGTTTTAGCATTTGTCACCTCGTCTTTTCCCGACGATTTATCTTCTTATCTCGTTCTTACTGATTTCTGGTTGTAAGTTAGAATTAAAATTTTTTATTTTTATTTGTAATTGCTTAAGGATTTCTTGGGTTGGTTTCTGTTTTGTATTGTAGAGGTTTTTATAATATTCTTGTTTTATCTGTCTGATTTCTTCTATATTATTGGTCTCGGTACCTTCTTTGTTCTTTATACTATTAATTTGTATGGTTCCAAGCTGTGGTTTTAAGCACTTCATGTTTTTATTTTGTTCAATTGCTTTTTCTATTTTTTCTTCCTGTACGCTCCTTTTATATTTCTTGATATTCCTTCTGATAGCTTTGTTTACTTCTTTGTAATCTATTGTGATTCTCTTATCTTGTTCCAGTAATGTTTTTCTTTTACTCATGAGATTTTTTGTTTCCTGGAATACATAGTTTTCCTTTTTTATTCTTGTTTGTGCTACCTCTTTTCCCGCCTTTGCTAATGTATCGGTTAATAGCTGATTTATTTCATCGATATTTTTGTTTTCCAAATCTCTAGTGACCGGTATAATTTCCCTTATTATTTGTTTATATTCGTCTTTTGATTGCTTAAGTTTTTCCATATCTAGTTTCGATACATTTTCCATTTTCTTTTTTGTTTACAATTTACAATTTTTTTACAATATTTACAATTACAATAAGAACACATAATTAAAAATCAATATAAAACTTTACATGAAGTATTATAAACGAACATCTAATGTATTATGAATATTTCGGTCGCATTCAGGAACTCATCAAAACCTCCAGTGAATCGCCTTTGGGGACATTATTCAACAATGTAACAGACGGTCTGTTGTTGCGCACCACAGTCACACTCAGGAGTAAGGGCTTTTTTGTTTACAGCAGCAAGTGCTAAAATAAAAATAGCCATTATGATTGCCAACCTCCATAGGAAGACGGTACTCTAAGAAGAAGACATCTACCACTGCTTGTTCTTATTCTGTTTAGCGTTATCCATGTATTGCGGGTCAGCACAAAGCCTGGTGGTTTCTGATCGATACAGGCCATTTAGTGTGCTTCCTGTGGTAAATCTCTCTCCCATTGTCTTCTCCAAGCGTTGGTGAAGTTGAAATGTTCCTGATGTAAGGAGTTGGCTCTTAGCAATAAAGTAAGGTAAATTAGAAAATGCGCATCCGACTACTTACGGCTGCCCTACACGTAATTATGGGTACGTTCCCCATTCACCTCCTAGTTAAAGAAAGAAAAACTCTATATTACAGAGAAAACGGTCTATCTATCTATCTATCTATCTATCTATCTATCTATCTATCTAATCTATCTATCTATCTATCTATCTATCTATCTATCTATCTATCTATCTATCTATCTATCTATCTATCTATCTATCTATCTATCTATCTATCTATCTATCTATCTATCTATCTATCTATCTATCTATCTATCTATCTATCTATCTATCTATCTATCTATCTATCTATCTATCTATCTATCTATCTATCTATCTATCTATCTATCTATCTATCTAATCAGCCTTAAACGCCCACTCTTGGGCATAGGCCTTCCCTGTTAATCTCCATTGGTCTCTATTTTGGGCGATCTGCATCCAGTCCTTTCCTGCCGTTCTCTTAAGATCGTCAGTCTATCTCATCTGTGGTCTTCCTCTTTTTCTTTTCTTTTCCCATGGTCTCCAGTGTAGAATTCGCTTATTCCATCTTTCATCTTTTTGCCGGAGAGTGTGACCGGCGAAGTTCCATTTAAGTTTTGCAACCTGTCTTGATACATCGTTCACCTTTGTTTTTTCTCTGATCCATGAGTTTCTTTTCCTGTCTTTAAGACCGATACCAGCATCTGTCTTTCCATTGCTCTTTGTGTTTTGGATATCCTGTCGATGTTCTCCTTTGTGAAAGTCCATGTTTGTGAGCCATATGTGATAACTGGTAAAATGCACTGGTTGAATACTTTCATTCGCATATATTGAGGGAACTTTTTATTTTTTAGAATATATGATGGTTTACCAAATGAGGCCCGTGCTAGTCTAGTTCTTCTTTTTTCTATTTCTTCTGTTTGATTGTCCCTGTTTAGCTTTATTATCTGTCCTAGGTATATGTATTCTGCCACCTGCTCTAATTTATTCTGTTTGACTACTATTTCTAATTGGTCTTCTTGATTTGTCATAGTCTTGGTTTACTATAGTTCATCTCTAGACCTACCTCTGTCGCTTTTCTATCTAGTTCCTCAACCATCTTCTGTAACTCTTCCTTCTTATTTGTTATCAGGACTATATCGGCTGCATATCTCAAGTGGTTCAAGAGCTCTCCATTTATTCTTATTCCGTATGTATCCCATTCTAATTTTTTAAATATGTCTTCCATAGCCTGATTGAACAATTTTGGCGACATTGTGTCTCCCTGCCTGATTCCTCTTTCGAATTTTATTGGTTCTGTAGCGTGTTCGTTCGACAATTTTATTGTGGTACTCGTATTTTTGTATATGTTTGTCAAAACGGTCATCTACCGAAAATAAAATCTAAGTTAAGATCACATATGCTGCAAAAATGGCAAAATAAATGGGAGTCACAAACAGCGAAAGTTCAATGGACCAAAATATTAATCCCTGATGTGGGAACGTGGTCCAAATGTAGGTTCAGAAGTTTAAATTATTTTGACACGATTTCTTAGCGTCCATGCGTCTAGGTGATTATTTGTTCCAAATCCGGTACAAAATCCCGTTTGTTCTATTGGTGTAAAAGAATAAAAATGGGAGCGTTATGTGAAGTTATGGAAAACGCTGTCACCAAATGAAATACACAATAGACCCTCAAGGGATGCTAACCCTGCGAGCGGCTGCAAGGAATACTGGTCACACTGGTCTGGAGGGCTGGCTCGTCTTCGTGGATTTACGAGAAGATAAGGGATTTCGGGATAGGGGTAACGACTCCTAGGTCTCAGGTCCTGTAAAGAGCAAAGGTTATGGGCTTACTTTTGAAGCCGGAGATATGCATACGCAGAATCTCGTGTTCTCCTAGTCTCTAGTGAGTCGGACGAAAGGAACATTAAAAAAAAAACCAAATTAGAGTCAACAATATATTGAATCTACCCTGAAGTTACTAATACAATCGTTAACACGATATTCTGCGCGTCGGGAGACGATGTAGCAAGATAGTGAAGAGTTGACAGAGGTACTAATATAATTACACAGGTTAGTATAAGAAAATCTGTTACCTTATGTGTATATTAGGGCTTCAACCACGACACGTTCAGTCTTCTGGAACTCGGTCAGTTGAGGGTTGCGAACTTTCGAGCTGCCACAATAACCGGACTACACGCGAACTATGCCAGATGATACGCGGCCCCCGGAGAATCACCGATTGTCTCCCCCCCGTACGATTGTCTCGTACTGTTCGCGTACGGGACGCTGTCGCGTCCCAGTCACGGTGGCCCGCTATTATTGACTGCCCATTACTAGCTACTCGTACCCGACGCTACCGCGTCGAGAGTACCCGGGGCGGCAATTGATGCCTGGACGCCCGCCGTCTCACTACTACTGACTGACTGACTACTGACTACCCGGCGTCCGTCGTTTCTTCTTGTTTTATTGTGGTCGTACTTTCAACGCCGGTTCTAGTACCAAGGTCGTAGTTTCGCTGAGTTGCAGTTTTGGCGTTATTGCTTCTATTTGGGTCACGGGTGTTGTTATTTTTTTACAACAATAGTTTCGTGCTTTTTATACGTTTAAACAATCATCAAACAATGCCATAACTAGGTCAATTTCTTTGTGTGATTTAAAATGCAAATTTTACTGTAATAATTATCCCTTATTTGATTTGGAATATATAATAATTATCTCGAATAATTATTATCTTTTTCTATGCTACTTCCTTTATTCCAACTTTTCACTCACTTGCTACGCTCACATTACATTGGCTGGTAGAAATCAATTTTTTTTCAAGACGATTCGTTACTATTCTTGTAAGTAGTTTGTATAGGTGACTAAGAAGACTTATAGGTCTGTAGTTTTCTAATTCATGGATATCTCCTTTTTTGTACAATAGAATTATCTCAGCATTGTGCCATTTGTCGGGTATATTACTTCCAAAAGGCACATGTTAAAAAGGTTTTTTATTTTCTTAAGTAGACAAGTTTAGGTAGTTTTATTTTGTCTATTGTGATTTCCTGTAGTAGTTCTGTTCCTTGGTTGACAATGCACTTTTTCCTTGTTAATATTTCTGGTACTTGATCTTTTCAGCTATTTACTTTGTGTCGGCTTGTGTACAGCAATTTGTAGAATAAATTCAACTAGAATGTAGAAGTCTTCAACTATTGTAAGGGTTTCCTCTCTGTTGGTAGTAAGATGACGATTTCTATCTTGAATCTTTATTATCTGCTTTGTCCCCATTCTTAGTGTTTTTCTCAATACTTTTATACTTCTATTGTTCTCAATAATATGTTAGATTTGTTCTTGGTTGTATTTTCCATTGTTTTGTCTAACACCTTTGGATATTTCTTTTTTTAATTTTTTCGTCGGCTTTAGTTGCCATAATCTCAGTTTATCGTAGTAAAATAATTCCCATTGCTATATAATAATATGTATACTTTTAAATAACATTTTTCAGAAACTATTCCCACGGCGAAAACCTTAAAAGACGAATTTTATATAACATCTCCCAATGGAGAACCATGCGGAAAGATTAGCGTCTACATCAGGATGTCCTGTTTTGGCAAGCTTATAGTGACTCAGTTCCAAATGAATCTAAACGACAAGTCTGTGTTATTTAAGGATAAAGAAGGAAAATCTTTGTACAGATACAAAAAGGCTGGTAAAGGTAAGATAAATGGGTTAAGTCAAAAACTTTATTTTTTGCAGTCAAAACTCCAACAATTGGTTGTTGCCTCTTGTTCGAGCCGGGAATTTGTGCGTTTCCTTAAAAAAATGTTATCGTATATAATATCATAAGAGAGAAAATTTTGTTAGCAATATTTTCGACCCGTATGAAAGTTTGTTGCCTGGCAATTTTCGCGAACTAAATTTTGACAGTTAAATCACGAGACGTCAGTCAGGCCATTCATATCCTTTTTGTAAGAGTTTCCAAAATTAGATTAATAAGTGTTGTTGATAAGGCATTATCTTGCATAACTCCATTTTCAATATCAAATGCCTTTGTCATATCTTCATCTATTCTCACCATGGCTTTGGAAACCCCCAAAAATCATTTTCAAAAGAGTTGTTTTAACATTTTTTGTCTATATATATACTCCATCAAACGCCTTCTTCTTCTTAACATGCCATACACCAAAGTGCGTAGGCGACTATCTCATTACTAGAATTCTGTTCTTGGCGGCGTGATACAGCTCACCTGTATTGTGTATTCCTGTCCATTCTTTAATATTCATTAACCAGGATAATTGTTTGCGGCCGGCTCCTCTGCTGGCTATGAAATACCGGCTGGTATTTCATATTTTGCTCCTCTCAATATGTGCCCAAGGTAACCAATCTTGCGTTTTTTAATTAATTCAAAGAGTTCTCTTTCCACGTCGGCTCTTAAGGACGTCATCGTTTCGAACTCTATCCACCCAAGGTATGCGCATCATTCTTCTCAATGACCACATTTCAAATGCTTCAAGTTTGTTGATTGATGTTTTTTTCAAAGTCCACGTTTCCATGCCATAAAGCAAGATGGACCATATGTAGCACTTGACCATTCTGTAGCGTATTTCGAAGTTTAGGTGTTGATTACATAGGAGCGGTCTGAATTTCACAAAAGCTTGTCTTGAAATTTGTATTCGGGTTTTTATCTCGTGTTGTGTATCTGATTGGTCATTGATTGTGGTGCCAAGGTATTTAAAAGTTTCACGCGATTTATACGATTGTCACCTATGCATATTATCGGGTTTTCTGGAGGGTTTCTGCTAATGACCATATATTTCGTTTTCAAAATGTTGATTTTAAGGCCATATTTTTTACCTATGCTATTTACCCTATCAAGTAATAACTGCTGATCTTCCAAATTATCAGTTGTAATCACTATGTCGTCCGCATAGCGTAGGTTGCTAATTGGTATGCCGTTCACCTTAATGCCTAATTCTGTATCTTCTAATGCTTCCGCAAATATATTTTCAACATATAAATTAAAAAGCATCGGAGATTGCCGGACACCTTTCCGGATTTCAAATTCATCCGTATATTGGTCTTGATCAATCCTCACCTTTGCCATTTGGTTCCAGTATAGATTCTGAATAATTCTGATCTCCTTCTGGTCAATGTTGGCCCTATGTAGTAGTTCCATCATGATATGTTTAACATTGTCAAATGCCTTCTCGTAGTCGATGAAGGTGAGGTAGACATCTTTTCGTTGATCTAAGCAGTTTTGTATTAAGGTGTTCAAACATAAAATTGCCTCTCTTGTTCCTAGTCCTCCCTTAAAACCGAATTGTGTTGACCCGCTAAATTCTTCTAGTATCTTGTACATTCTTGAGTGTAATATTAAGGAAGAGTTTCAACAAGTGACTCATTAAACTGATTAATCGGTGTTCATTGCATTTTGTGGCATTAGCTGTTTTTGGGATCATAACAAAGGATGACTGCAGCCATTCTCGCGGAATGTAACCAAATTCTATTGAACAGCCTTACCAAGATTTCGATATTCTCCTCGTCTAGTAGTTTTATTGCTTCTATATTAATTTCATCTGGACCTGTTGCTTTATGCATCTTTGTGGTTCTAACTGCATATTCTATTTCACTTCGCATTATTGATGGCCCTGATAAGTTTTCGGAAGGAAGTTTGCGCGTTGGTTGTGTTGGTCTTTCGTCATTAAAAAGGCTTTCTGCGTATTCATTCCACGCCATTGCTATCTCCTCTTCTGACTCTATGTATTCGTTTCTGTCGTTGCGTATTCTTGTTCTGTGGTGGCTTTTGTGTATATTCGATATTTCTTTGATCTTCTTATGTAGTCCAAAACTATCTCCTTTTTCCTGCAATTGTTCTATTTCATTGCACCTTTCCACCATCCAACGTTCTTTTGCTTTCTTAATTTTCTAACGGATTTCTTTGTGTATCTGTTTGTATTTGTCTTGATTACGTTGTTGTTTATGTTGCCTTCGCTTTTCCTCCTGTTGAATAGGCTATCAAACGCCTGTTGAAATCAATATATTGGTATGTAAATTGGTATGTTATATTCAGCACATTTTTCATGTATACCTTTTAACATATGTATTTGGTCTATGGTTGACCTCTTTGGTTTGAAACCAAATTGGTATTTAACAATTATTTCTTCCGAAAATATTTCAAGGCGGCTGTTTATAATTCCCGATAAATCCTTGTAAGCGACATTTAACACAATTATGCCCCTATAATTTTCGTATTTATATTTATATTTACTTGTACATAGGAAATATTATTCTTACTTTCCAATCCTCTGGGATGACTTCTGGTGTCCATATGCAGTAGATTAGTTTATGGATGCAGTTCTGCATTCTATCTGTTCCAGGTGCTTTGTTATTTTTCACGTATATAGTTTCTTTGAATATTGGTTCCTCAACTAGTTCTTACAGTACATGGTCCTGACCTTGGCAGGCCTCACCCGTATACTCATGTAATTTCTAAGCCACTCGTCCACTGGAAGATTAAAAAGAAAACAAAAAAGCTTAATCCATATCTGCAAAACTGCTGATTCTTTTTAGTTGTGCAATGGAAGTCGAACTGTGTCGATATCAAGTTTTTGTGCAATACCGACACTTTTGAGTTGTACCACTATAGCAGACAATTTTAGATATTTTTAAACTGTATCAGTGAGAATCTTGGAGTTGTGTCACATTAAATAAAAGGAATCAATTTATTGTTTTAAAAATGTCAGATCCAGGAAGGAAGGCTTGTCCGGACCAATGGAAAAGAAATGTCAGAAAGTTTCTTAGAAATTCAGGCCAAAAATACACTAATGTTAAAGGTAATCTTGTACAGGCTCCCAGTTTAGGTCCATCTTTGAAAAATATTGGTCAATGGGCAATATAAATGAACAACGATATCGATATGCAGATAAAGGTAACACATCAAGCCCATTTTATTTGGAAAACCGTGATCAGAAAAAAATAAGGGTGTGCAAAAGTTTTTTTTATATCCACCATTGGAGTTACTAATAGATGTATTCGAACTTATTGAGAAGATGGAAAGTGGCTTTATAAGCAACGATTACCTAAAGAGGTAAAAAGAGACTAATATAGCATGCATAAAACATTTTGTAACGAAACTATGAATAGGGTTCGTAAACACCTTTCTTCAATTCCGACAATAGAGAGCCACTATTTTTGAAATAGTACCTCAAAAAAATATATAGGAGGTAAATCATTGACAGATCTGTACAATGATTATACAGCTGATTGCCAAAGAGACAATGATTAATTTGTAAAAATTGGTTTATATTGTAAACTTTTTAATTATGAATTTAACTAAGCATTTTTTCTCCAAAAAACATCAATATCAGTATTGTGAAAAATACAAAAATTCGGGCGGTGAAGAAAAATTGCCCTATAAGACGCTAATAATAATCATCATAGGGAGAAAAACTTAAGCCGGGAGCTAAAAATACTTGACAAAGAAAATGTATCTAACTTACAAAAAGTTGCTTGTTTTGACCTAAAAACTGCTCTATTGACACTAAAATATCATTTCTATTTTGTGAACTTCAGATAAAGGGACTGGGAAATGTGCACAGCTATGTTTCACACGAAGGAGAAATTGGTTCATGCCTGCTGATGTATTGAGAACCAATGTCTATAAAAACCAATTCTAACGATTTGAAATTCAGATTTTACTCAGACAATTGTGGTGTCCAAGAAAAAAACAAGTACCCAATTAACTCATCGCTATTTAGTTGTCGGCCATACTCAAAATGAGGGTGACAGCTGCCACTCTTTAATAGAAGAAATATCACTAAGGCTTTAAAAGGAAGGCCTATTTATCTAGGTACGCTATGCCATAATGATTTGTGACCAGAAAAAATTTAATACCAAAACTGCGACAATTTTCAATGAAGATGTCCAAGGACATACTTTTCATTTCAACGATATTTCTGAAATTCATGTAAACAAAAGCTTTGGTACTCACTACTATTTTAAAAGTTTATTTGCACATATCAATTGATCCACCAAGAAAAAAAAAAGGTTTAGAAAGCATGGATGTTATAGAACTAGAAAAGGCTTACACTGGTAGCCTGCCAATAACTGAAAAGAAGAAAAAAGACCTTACCATATTTTGTGAAGAGAAGAGAGTTCCACCAATTCACGCTGATTTCTACCGACATTTAAAGTTATAATCATAACTTTTCCTATTATTATCATTATCAATATATACTTTTTTATTTCGTTCTTGTTATAGTTGTTAAACACATTTTCTCATTCAAGTAACTTGTAGTATTCTTTCTTGAACCTCTACGTCAGTTGATAAGAATACCAAAAAAATGACAGTTTTGTCTTTGCCTTAATTAGCCTTGAAAGACAAAATGTTGCAGAAAGGTGCAATAGTGGCACAATTCAAAATAATGTTTTTAGATAATAATTTAATTTTCATTTAACAACTCTGTAAATTGGCTAATGGATTAAGTCCACAGTCAAAAGAAACCAACAACAACTCTGTAAATTTAATAACAATGAGTTTTTTAGTTAGAATTATCTGCTATATATAGCATGAATTTTGGCTCTTGTTAGCTAGTGAATTTTCCTTTGTCTTAGTTTTATTGTCAACTGTAAAATCTTCTAGAATCGGTGAATTCTTGACCTTATTTCATGAGTTTATTAAATTTGTTTCTCCATTACTATATATTTGCATTGAATTTTATCTAGTCACGTTTTAAGTTGATTAATGTTTAAAGTTTGTTTTTAGATAAAGATCAGTTTGTTGTAGACAAAGATCATTTATTCAAAAGATCGCTTTAAAGTCAACTATATTAAATAAAAAATTAATAGCAAATTACTTAATGTACTATTACAATGGAGATTACATAATGTAATTAGATAAACGGATGATACAGCAATTTTATCACAGATAACGTTCAAGGCCAACAAATTCTGCTGAATCAGGTGACACGGTGATTTTGTCAAATGACCTTGAAGGCTTCCAAAATCTGCTCAATCGGATGATATAGCAACTTTATCAGATAACGCCGAATGCCTTTAAATTCTGCTGAATGTATAGAATAATACAGTAATAATGTCACATGACGTTAAAGGTTGCCAAAAATTGTATCGGATGAAAAAATAATTCTATCAAACTATGTTGAAGAAGATGAACGGAAATACAGTAAAACCTCCCTTAACCAAAACCTTTTTAACCGAAACATCGTTTAACCGAAACGGCTAAAAGTTTCAATAATTTCGTCAATAAAAAGTAAATTTTTAAATAAAAGTTACTAATAGATGTATTCGAACTTATTGAGAAGATGGAAAGTGGCTTTATAAGCAACGATTACCTAAAGAGGTAAAAAGAGACTAATATAGCATGCATAAAACATTTTGTAACGAAACTATGAATAGGGTTCGTAAACACCTTTCTTCAATTCCGACAATAGAGAGCCACTATTTTTGAAATAGTACCTCAAAAAAAATATATAGGAGGTAAATCATTGACAGATCTGTACAATGATTATACAGCTGATTGCCAAAGAGACAATGATTAATTTGTAAAAATTGGTTTATATTGTAAACTTTTTAATTATGAATTTAACTAAGCATTTTTTCTCCAAAAAACATCAATATCAGTATTGTGAAAAATACAAAAAATTCGGGCGGTGAAGAAAAATTGCCCTATAAGACGCTAATAATAATCATCATAGGGAGAAAAAACTTAAGCCGGGAGCTAAAAATACTTGACAAAGAAAATGTATCTAACTTACAAAAAGTTGCTTGTTTTGACCTAAAAACTGCTCTATTGACACTAAAATATCATTTCTATTTTGTGAACTTCAGATAAAGGGACTGGGAAATGTGCACAGCTATGTTTCACACGAAGGAGAAATTGGTTCATGCCTGCTGATGTATTGAGAACCAATGTCTATAAAAACCAATTCTAACGATTTGAAATTCAGATTTTACTCAGACAATTGTGGTGTCCAAGAAAAAAACAAGTACCCAATTAACTCATCGCTATTTAGTTGTCGGCCATACTCAAAATGAGGGTGACAGCTGCCACTCTTTAATAGACAGAAATATCACTAAGGCTTTAAAAGGAAGGCCTATTTATCTACGCTATGCCATAATGATTTGTGACCAGAAAAAATTTAATACCAAAACTGCGACAATTTTCAATGAAGATGTCCAAGAGCATACTTTTCATTTCAACGATATTTCTGAAATTCATGTAAACAAAAGCTTTGGTACTCACTACTATTTTAAAAGTTTATTTGCACATATCAATTGATACCACCAAGAAAAAAAAAGGTTTAGAAAGCATGGATGTTATAGAACTAGAAAAGGCGTACACTGGTAGCCTGCCAATAACTGAAAAGAAGAAAAAAGACCTTACCATCTTTTGTGAAGAGAAGAGAGTTCCACCAATTCACGCAGATTTCTACCAACATTTAAAGTTATAATCATAACTTTTCCTATTATTATCATTATCAATATATACTTTTTTATTTGGTTCTTGTTTTAGTTGTTAATAAACACATTTTCTCATTCAAGTAACTTGTAGTATTCTTTCTTGAACCTCTATGTCAGTTGATAGGAATACCAAAAAAATGACAGTTTTGTCTTTGCCTTAATTAGCCTTGAAAGACAAAATGTTGAGGTGCAATAGTGGCACAATTCAAAATAATGTTTTTAGATAATAATTTAATAGTTTAATTTTAATTTAACAACTCTGTAAATTGGCTAATGGATTAAGTCCACAGTCAAAAGAAACTAACAACAACTCTGTAAATTTAATAATAATCAGTTTTTTAGTTAGAATTATCTGCTATGGCTCTTGTTAACTAGTGAATTTTCCTTTGTCTTACTTAGTTTTATTGTCAACTGTAAAATCTTATACAGTCGGTGATTTCTTGGCCTTATTTCATGAGTTTATTAAATTTGTTTCTCCATTACTATATATTTGCATTGAATTTTATCTAGTCACGTTTTAAGTTGATTAATGTTTAAAGTTTGTTTTTAGATAAAGATCAGTTTGTTGTAGACAAAGATCATTTATTCAAAAGATCGCTTCAAAGTCAACTATATTAAATAAAAAATTAATAGCAAATTACTTAATGTACTATTACAATGGAGATTACATAATGTAATTAGATAAACGGATGATACAGCAATTTTATCACAGATAACGTTCAAGGCCAACAAATTCTGCTGAATCAGATGACACGGTGATTTTGTCAGATGACCTTGAAGGCTTCCAAAATCTGCTCAATCGGATGATACAGCAACTTTATCAGATAACGCCGAAGGCCTTTAAATTCTGCTGAATGCATAGAATATTTATAGATACTTTTAAAAGATTAGAATGGGAAGAAAAATGTGGACAACGCTTGAACCATCTAAGGTACGCTGATGATATAGTATTGATAACTGATAAAAAGAAGAATTATTTGAAATGATGAAAAAACTGGACGTAGAAGCTGGAAAGATATGCCTTAATATGAATTACAGCAAGACCAAAACCATAACAAATACAGATGAAGACATCACAATGAGAATCGGACAAGATGAAATAGAACAAGTTCAGGATTATATATATCTTGGTCAAACTATAAAACTTAACAAAGAGAACCAAACAGCAGAGATAAAGAGACGAGTTAGACTGGCATGGCCGACATTTGGCAAACTAAGCTACATTCTTAAAAACAAAAGATATTTACAGCATCTTAAGACCAAAGTATACAATCAATGCGTACTCCCTGTTCTTACTTATGGTTTCCAAACGTGGACATTTATAAAAGCAAACATGGACAAGATCATAAAAACCCAAAGAGCAATGGAAAGACAAATGCTGCACATACGAATAATGGATAAAAAGAGAAACGAGTGGATAAGAGAGAAAATAAAAGTGAGGGATGTTAGACAAGAAGTTGCAAAATTGAGATTTGCCGGACACCATATAAGACAAAAAGACGACCGATGGAACAAAATTCTTATAAGTTGGAAACCGTGGGAATATAAACGGAGTAGAAGAAGGCCCCAAATGAGATGGGCAGATGATATCAAGAAGCACGTGGGCTCTAGGTGGATGACTGTAGCGACAGACAGAGAAGAATGGAAAAGGATTGGGGAGGCCTATGTCCAAAGATGAACCGAAGAAGGCTAATTAGATAGATAGATAGAATGCATAGAATAATACAGTAATAATGTCACAATGAAGTTTAAGGTTGCCAAAAATTGTATCGGATGAAAAAATAATTCTATCAAACTACGTTAAAGAAGATGAACGGAAATATTAAAAGAAATTGGAAATTTTAAAAGAAACACACTGATTTGACAATTACGACGAACCGAAAACTATTCTAGAATCAAGAGAAATAGAAATACGGTATACAAGATGAAAAAAGGGAAAATGTCAAATGGAGACGCAACAATGAATAACAACTCCCAGAAAGAAAACCAAAGATTTCCAAATAGGAAAAAAGTGAGTTGATATCCAAAAGTTGTTAAGATTAAGAATCATAAAAAAGATGCAAATGTGTATTCGTCTCGTGTATAGCAATTTCTTACTTCTTCTGGTAGTTGTATTTGTTGGCTTTGATCGTAATCCTTTACTTATGTAAAATGTATTTTTCCACCTAATATTCATCTTTATAATATCTTGCTATGGTATTATGCTGTTTTCGCTTTTATTGCTTGGTAGGCATTCCCAATTTATTTATTTTTAAAATTTTTTCACCTAGCCCAAATTTCTGCTCACAAGAACGGTCTTTTTTATATTGTGCATATGTTCTTCCCGTATGGTCTTGTAGTACTAAGTCGATTGCTTCTTGTATTTTTCTTTTATTTGTTTTCAGCTTTCTATACCCCCTAAAATTGTCTGTCTTATAAATTTTTCTTCAATCTGGTTTCTAAATTTGTTGTATTTTTTTAATAGTATCAATGAGTTTTCTCTTTTTACCATTTTTATAGTTCGTTGCATTATTATTTACCTTTGACCAAGAAGTGGCCTTGAAAGAAAATGGAAAACATTTACGTCTAAAATTGTCATTTATTTCGTTTATTATAAAGTAACATATTTTATTATATATTACGATTATATTACGAAAATTATTTAGAACCAGAAAGCTTTTTCCGTTGAAAAATTGTGGTCCCTACCCACCTTTTTTTTTCATTTTTTAAAATTTAAATTGTAATTAACTCACTTTTTTGAAAAATCACTTAGTGTGTGTGGATGCAAATGCACCCCCCTGAAAAGCAGGTGCACCTTCATGAAAATAATCCTGGCGGCGCTCATACGCAAATACTTAGATTATTTTACTTTCAACGTTCAATAATATTATCATGAACAGATCGTTTTTTATTTAGGTTCAAAAGGTAGCAAATGTACACCAAAATCCGATAAACACGACAGGAAGAAAAGTAGGAAAGGTAAAGGCGATCCCTGTGACTGCGATGGCCCGTCACCTGAAGACGATGCAATGTTTTCAAAAACAGATCAATGTACAGACTCCTGTCCTTTTAAACCATGTATAATAGAACAACAAGGCGGTGGTCCAGGTAAAAAAGTAGTAAAATATATATCAGAACTATTTTTGTATTCAATTTTGTTTTATTTGAAGATAAACCCGTAATGAATAGTTCGACGAGTCTACAATAGTATAGATTTAGCAAGTATGTATGTACTAATATATAATGATATTATATATATATATATATATATATATATATATATATGTAATATATATATATATATATATATATAATATATATAAGCGAGGTTACCTACAGCCTCTGCCGCATCTCGCATTTCGACCGCCATCGATTTCTGTCCATCCATTCGTCTTCTTGATGAGCTCTATCTCTCATTATGTGTCGTACATTTTCTTTCCAGCAACTGAAGGCCTTCCTTTCTTCTTCTTTGTTGTGGATGTAATTTAAAGCTTTCTTTGGCCATCTATCTTCATTCATTCGCTTCACGTGACCATACCACACTAGTTGTCTCGTTTCATTCTGTCTACACTGGAATATACAGTATATGTCCTCCTTCTAATATCTTCATTCTGATATGATCTTTTTTGGATACACCACACGCTCTCCTTAGAAAATCCATTTCTATACTTCTATCTTTTTCTATCTTTTTCGTGATCTGCCAAACTTCTGCCCCATAAGTCATAATAGGCTCTACCAAGGTTCGATAGATTGTCATATTTCGTTTTTGTCTAATATCTTTAACCCATAGTAAGAGTTTAGAATGTTAACGCTTTTTTCCCTGCTGCGTCCTGTTTTCGATGTCTCTTTGGTAGTGCCTTCTTCACACAAAAATCAACACATCACACAAAAAAATATAGGTTCGATCTGCGAGGTCGCTGTTGTTCGGTTACGACAAACGTTCACTTTTTAACCGCTAGAAATTACCTGAAAACCGACGTTATGTGTTTCTCAACTAATATGACATAAATGTGAAGCTAAATAAACAGTGCCGTAATTATACGACACACTTCTTTAAAAATAGTTTATATAAATGTTTTTAATGTATCTCTCAGATCAGCCGCGACTTCCAGGGGGTTAACTAAGACGATAATTCTTTCACGGTCCAACTCAGAAATTAAATTACGATTTTATTATAAATCACGATTTCACAAATTTTATCAGAATAAATTTTTCAAATGTTTTACACATTGACAAAATTAGATCAATTAAATGAGTAGTTACATAAAAATAAAAAAAACGAAAAAAGATGTATTTTATATGAAAAAGTTCTATTAAATATATTATAAGGGTACGGATTTATAAAAGCGTAAAAATCGTGTATACGAGGGGTGATATATAACTTTTCAAACTATTGCATATATAAGCAAAACGGAATTGACTTCTTGAAATATATTAAAAGCTTTTAGCATCATACAACATTTGTTTAATATCAAATATCAAAAACATATAAACAAGTCAACTATATAATTATTCTTAGAGGAAATAAATTGCTGTATGTAGAGAAATTTTGATTTCATAACGAAAGTTAATTTTTTCAGGTCCTGCATACCCAGGTAGATACACTGGCGCCTTCCTACCCTGGAGCTTTTCCATATGGCCCCGAAGGTGCTGCATACAATCAACTTCCTTCTGGATTACCCATGAATATTCAAGGAATGAATTACAGTCCAGGTGTAGGAATGGGTGCATTCGGCGGAGGTTACTTCCAGGTGAGAGGAGTGGTGCTCCTTGTATAGAATGCGACAATAAACCAAATCCCCCATGCGCAACAGTATATGGCGGCGGATTTACCGGATTTGGCGATTTGCCTGGATATCCTACAGGTATGGCAATGCAAGCCGATATGCCTATGCAAGGTATGGCCCCTTTGCAAACAAACGGGGGATATGCACCATTTCAACCACAACAAAACGGACTTGCTGTATGCCGCACCGGTCAAGGTCCCGAAAGAAGTCCAGAATTAGACCAGCCTTGCTCTGAGTGTTCCCCTTGTCCGTATGGTGAAGAAGAACCACCCAAAGCAGACGGCCCTGAAGGTAATAATAACATTGGTCACAAATTTTGAACTTTCATTTTTTCCTTGAGTCCACCCTGATATTTGGCCAATAGGGGAGAGCTGTTGTAAGCGTTGGGTCAGATTTTTAGTTTTATATTTTTTTCTAAATCCTAAAAATTAATATATTTGCAAAGTTAATCCAATGCATTAGTTTACTTTGTCTATTTGGCTACATGCCTTTCTTTTGATTGACTACATTTTAAGCTTAGTAGTTAGTTAAAAAATATATTTTAGCTGGACCCTTGCATGTTGACCCATGGTACAACTGGTAATTACCTTGGACCAGCATATATTGTATCTTGGACCACATTATATTGTAACCTTGGGTCAGTTATAAAAAAGAAATAGAAACAAATCTTGAAATGTTTTATTGAATATATCCAAAATAATCAGAACATCTTATATTAACTAATGATTAATTTAGTAAATAAATAACTTATTTGACATTTATATCCGCTAAATTTAACATTAATTTCAGGTGCGCATCGAGACGTGCAGTTCCGCTTAGTTTGTGCGGTTGTGGAAGTTTACGTACAATATCATTGCGTAAAAAATCATAAGTCTCGGTTGAGTCGTTTATAAACTTATTGGAATCATAGAATTCTAACGTAAATATCTAAGTTCATTATTAATTCCACTGTTCAGTATCTCGGCAACATAATAAACAAAAGATTTCTTCCCTGCCACTTTCACTAAAACAAGTCTCCTTTTTTAATCCGTTATTTCAGTATAAGTCTTATATTTTTTGGTCATTTAATAATTCTTCTTCTCTAGTTACCAAGTCCTCAAATGTACCTCCATCACTTGAACTTGATTCACTATCATACTTACACTCTCTTTGGCACATTTTGTATATCTTCTGTCGCTATTTGCTTTGTTAACTGCCTGCACTTTCTCAAATGATACCGTCTTTCCCTTTTTAAGCGTAGCTATTTCATCTTTCTCTGAGTGTCGTAAGTATTCGTGACTTCCTCTTGCTCTTCCTAACTTCTTTTTGCGAACAGGTGCCTTTGGATAGGGTCGCAACATGTTCAGGTGTAATAGAACTTCCTGAAGTTCCTGCTTGACGAATATTTGAGTAGAAGGAGTAGAGACTTCCATTTCATTAACTGTAGTTTTAGTTTTTTTTCCCCCGTCCTGTTCAACATTGACTTGCTCGCGACTGTCAGTAAGCTGGTTAAAGGACGATCAGTTACATACGAAGACAGAAACTCATTATCTTCAAAAATTTTTCATTGACGAATAATACCGCTCACCTCAAATCCCTTACCTACAAGTTCGGCTATATCGTAAATCGTAATAGGTTGTCCAGGGTGCATAATCATCCACTCAGCTACAGGCGTATTATAGTAAGTTTTCATCGGTCCAAAAACTGTTCGTATCGAGCGGTTGCATTGTGTCTGGTGTGGGGATGAAACGTTATCGGTAGAATTCCATTCTTCTTACAGAAATTAATGACACTTACATTCACGTGGCTATCGTGATTATCCAAAAGTAATATAACTGGATTTTCAACTGTTGGTTTCACATGATTTTTAATAGTGTTGTAGGTATTCCAAAAACAATATTTCGTTTTGACCAGCCAGTCGGATTTGCACCTCCTATATTCCAACTGGACATCCTTTAGCATGTGAGGCTTAAATTAACCCGCGAAATATCATCATTGGCGGAATATGATTTCCGATTGCATTTATTGAGGCTATCAAGTTACATTTTGACCTCGCTCTCCCACTTGTCATTGACCCTAATTGTTTTATTCCCTTAGGTCCTACAATTTTTGGTGGTACAATGGACAGTCGTTTAACCCTGTCTACGTCCAATTCAATATCCTACCCAAAATTCTTCCTTTTGCAGTTTGCATATCGAGTATGCTAAAGTACGAATTTCCAGTTTCGTCAAACCATTGTGGAGCGTGAGCATGAGTAGATATATTTGTTAACTCAGCGTCCTCATCTTATTAAAAATTGTTTTACATTTTGGCAGCAACATAAGAAAATTCTGAAGCCCCCGACTGCTTGAAGGATTTTACTGCCTGATCAGTCTGGTTTTTGATATGTTATAGCATTTTGCTGCTTCCCTAATTGATAATTCACCACTTATGCATTTATTTGCGGCTGCAGTTAAATCCTGGGCATTAAATGTGGTCTTTATTGATACCCACTTTACTTTCGGCATTTTAAAATGACTATCTGTAAACAATAATAAAAGGTTTTTTATGGTAACAGACACACCAATTAATTTAAATAAAAGTCAAAATAATGTTAATCGCATTAGAATTGTACCTTGGTCACGGTCCTAGTACACGACTACGGTGACCAAGGTACACAACGTACAATTTCACTGTTTTTTGTTTTCTAATATTAGTTATGCGTTTAGACAAAAATACATTCGATGATTATCAAGCGTAAATATAATTTGTCCATTACAGATAATTATAAAATATATATTTACATTGAAGAGGATTTTAACAGATAACCAATAGGTAAATAATTTACTTACGATCAAACAAAACTACAAAACGCATATGTAAGTCACCACGCTGCAATTTTTTGAATAAGTGTTATATTGATGCCATCTACCGCTGATATTATTAAAACACTAATTCAACCAAATCGAAGAGAAATCTGCATGTGGGTAAGAAAGAAAGTCAACTGACCCGAGGTACAACCCGGTCCGTGGTTCAACACTTCCCCTATTTCATTGAATTTTGTGAAAATGCTAAAACAGATGGATTTTAATATTAAAGGGTCATCTTTTCACGATATAGACATTTGTCACTTGTCAACACCCTCCCTTCCAGTATACAAATTCTAAATTTTAAATAAGGAATAGACCATATGTAGTAAATCATTAGGTAATTCAGGCATCCATGATTTTTCTTTCATATTAACTCTGTGAAAAAGTATATAATTTCACATTGCAATTACTTTATTGTTTTTTAAAACCACTTTAAGCTCGCAGTTGCTCCTACTTCGGTACTATAGATTATTATTTATTTTTCTCAAGATATCTCTTTTTTTATTTCAGTTATACGACCTGCGTTTATCGGGTAATATTTAGTCTTATTTGTGATTCCGAAAACCAGCTGTCTTAATATCTCTATGTGGTCTTCCTGAGAGTCTTCTTACAGTTGGTTTCCTATCTCTTACAATTTTTTGTAATTCTCTTCTTGTAATCTTTTCACATTCTCATTACATGTAAATTTAAATTGATTCTTCTTTCTCTCCCCATCTCGCTACATCTTAGATGTCACGTTTTTGCTTGATATCTTCGGTTCCTACTCGATTTTGTCTAGTTTTCGCTACTATAGTCTTTATCATCTCAATTGTTCTTATTGTTTGTTTTGTTTTCATTGTATTAGCTCTTGTTTCTATCGCGTATTTAAGTATTGGTCGAGTGCATTTTTATAAACTCTTGTTTTATTTTCAATTCTAGACTTTATTTCGTCATTTAAACTTTCAGATAAAAAGAATGGTCCAACAATATGATTCTCAAAAATTCCTGCCCAAACATTCAGTTTCTGTGGATGTTGGGTGTGGACCTCTGACATATTTTCGATTATTGTCCGACCACTAATGACAGTTATGACGGTTAACACATTCACTGCAGACGTATAATGGCTCGGATGCTGAATTGTTTTTTTTTTATGGAAATAGCATTCATTGTCCAAATGTTTTCTAAGAAGTACATTATTAAAAAAAACGTCAATTTATTTAAAAAAAATGACGTAAAAATACGTCACGCGCACTTGGTTTGAAATTTTACACTTCAGTACGCATGACGTATTTTGACGTCATTAGAAATTCATTCAATTTTGAAATAATTTGAAGCTAAGGAAAAATACGTACAAGGTTTAGTCAAATATATTTTGTTCACCAAAAACATAAATATTCTATTATACATAAATGTTGAAACAAGAAAGTATTGAAAAGAAACACCAAAGTCGAAATAAAGTAACAATACAGAATATCAATAAAAACAGGGTCAAGATGAATTGAAACAAACATTCGGAATAAACATTGAAATAAGATTGAAATAAGCGTTGAAATTAAACTTTGATAAACACAAAACATTGAAATCACACAAGTTTCCAAATAAAAACAGAGTATGGTAAATCAGGTAGCAGGGTAGATACATTTTTACGATCCCGGTAAAGTTAGGTCTACTTCAGGATCGCGACCCTGCCTATGCGAGCCGTGGCTCACTCTCAATCCCTTTAAACCGAGAGGGTACCACGTCCCAACCTATCATCCTTGTCGATGACGCCAATTCCCTAGCCCATCCTACAATCCTTCTACCAACCCGCACAGGCCAGCGTGGTAGAGAAACGGCCAGGAAACCTCGTAAAAATGAGAAAGGAAGAAAATGCAAGGCCCTCAGTCTCCGCAGTCCCTTGAAAACAGGCTATGGTACAGTCCTGTAGTTAGAGGGACAGAGGGTGCTAAGAATCACGGGAGTCAACCAGGCTAACCTTCATAAAACGACAACGGCAAAGAATATGGTTTATGGCAACATACAACACAAGAACATTGATGGAGGACGAAAAACTAGTTGAACTGGAAAACGAGCTGAATCATATAAAATGGGATATACTTGGATTGTCCGAAGTACGGCGAAAGGGTGAAGAACAAATGGTACTCTCCGTCGGAAACCTATTGCATTATCGAGGAGAGTCTTCAATGGTGGCGTAGGATTTATGGTAAATAAAAAACACACAAAGAATATACTCACAATTAAAAAGCATAAGTGATAGAGTTATATATCTTATCTACAAAGTAAACGAAAAAATTCGGTTAAAGATCATCCAGGTATATGCACCTACTAGATACCCATACAGATGAAGAAGTAGAATGGTTCTACGATGACGTTAACACTGCCATACAAGAGACAAACACCAACTTTACTATACTGATGGGAGACCTAAACGCCAAAATAGGCCACAAGCAAGATGATTCGGAGTTTGTAATGGACCTCACGGAT